GCAGATGTCTCTTGGATGCACTGATTTTCTTTCCTTTGGATAAATGCCCAGTAGTGGGTTTGCTGGGTCATGCAGTAGTCCTATTTGTAGTTTTTTGAGGAACCTCCATACTGTTCTCCATGGTGGCTATACTAGTTTACATTCTCACCTACAGTATATAAGTGTTCCCTTTTCAGCCGGGCACGGTGGCTCACACCTGTAATCCTACCACTTTGGGATGCCGAAGTGGGCGGATCATGAGGTCAGGAATTTGAGACTAGCCTGGCCAATATGGTGAAACCCTGTCTCTACTAATAATACAAAAATTAGCCGGGCTTGGTGGTGCGCACCTGTAGTCCCACCTACTTGGGAGACTGAGGCAGAAGAATTGCTGGAACCTAGGAGGTTGCAGTGAGCCGAGATGGCGCCATTGCACTCCAGCCTGGGCAACAGTGAGATTCTATCTCAATAAAAATAAAAATAAAATAAAAAAGTGTTCCTTTTTCTCTGCTTCCTTGCCAGCATGTTTTGTTTTGTTTTTTTTTTTTGTCTTTTTGACAATAGCCACCTACCTAACGAGTAAGATGACACCTCATTGTGATTTTCATTTACATTTTCCTGATAGTGATGTTGAACATTTTTTCATATATTTGTTAGCCATTTGTATGTCTTCTTTTGAGAAATGTCTATTCAGAGAATTTACTCCTCCTACTTTTTTTTTTGAGACAGATCTCACTCTGTCACCCAGGCTGGAGTACAGTGGTGGGATCTCAGCTCACTGAAACCTCTGCCTCCCAGGCTCAAGCCATCCTCTCAGTGCAGCCTCCAGAGTAGCTGGGACTCCGGGCACACACCACCATGCTTGGCTAATTTTGTGTAGAGACAGGATTTCACCATGTTGCCCAGGCTGATGTTAAATTCCTGGACTGAAGCCATCTGCCCTCCTCAGCTTCCCAAAGTTGCCCCTTTTTTAATTGGATTTTTTGTTTGTTTTTTGCTGTTGAGATATTTGAGTTCTTTGTATATTCTGCGTATTAACCCCTGTCAGATAGTTTGCACATATTTTTTGTAATATTTGTAATCCCATTCTTTTTTTTTTTTGAGATGGAGTCTTACTCTGTCACCCAGTCAGGAGTGCAGTGGTGCAATCTTGGCTCACTGCAACCACCACCTCCCAGGTTCAAGCGATTCTCCTGCCTAAGCCTCCCGAGTAACTGGGATTACAGGTGTGCGCCACCATGCCCAGCTAATTTTGTATTTTTAGTAGAGATGGGGTTTCACCATGTTGGTCAGGCTGGTCTTGAACTCCTGATCTCAAGTGATCTGACTGCCTTGGCCTCCCAAACTGCTGGGATTACAGGCATGGGCCACTATGCCCGGCCTGTAATCCCATTCTATAGGTTGTCTTTTTACTTGTAGATTGTTTGCTGAGCAGAAGCTTTTAAGCTTGAGATTATCCTATTTGTTTATTTTTGGTTTTGTTGCCTGTGCTTTTGATGTTTTATTCGTAAAATATTTTCCTAGACTTTTGAAGTATTTCTTCTCATAGCTTTCTAGTTTTGGGTCTTACATTTAGGTCTTTGATCCATTTTGAGTTGATATTGTATAGGGTGAGAGGTAAGGGGTCTGGTTTCATTTTTCTGTATGTAGATACTCACTTTTCCCAGCACCATTTATTGAAGAGGGTGTCCTTTCCCCAGTGTTCTTGGACCCTTTGTCAAAAATAAATTGGCACTGGGTGTGATGGCTCACACCTGTAATCTCAGCACTTTGGAACTCCAGGACAGGTGGATCACTTGAGCCTAGGAGTTCAAGACCATCCTGCGCAATGTGGCAAAACCCCATCTCTACAAAAAATAAGCCAGGTGGTAGCATGCCCTTGTAGTTGCAGCTCCTCAGGAGGCTGAGGTGGGAAGGAAGATCACCTGAATCTGGGAGGTTGAGGATGCAGTGAGCCGTGATTGCATCACTATACTCCAGTGGGGCAACAGAATGAGACTGTGTCTTAGGTAGGTAGGTAGGTAGGTAGGTAGATAAAGTAGCTTAATAACTTGATACTCTGTTCTGTTCCATTGGCCTGTGTGTCTGTCTTTATGCCAGTTCCATGCTGTTTTGGTTACTACAGCTTTGTGGTTTATTTTGAAGTCTGGTGATGTGATGCCTCCAGCTTTGTTCTTTTTGCTCAGGATCGCTTTGGCTAGTTGGAGTCTTCTGTGGTCCTATACAATTTTTAAGATATTTTTCCTATTTATGTGAATAATGTCACTGGTATTTTGATAGGGCCTGTGTGCATTTTAGCATGTTCTTCTGTCCTCTGTTCTCAGTCTTTTTCTGCAAATTGGTAACTGGATTTAGAGACTTAATCAGATTTAAGTTTTATTTTTTGGGAGTAGTACAAGATAGTTTTATAGAAGCAAAGCAGTGAATGGTACCATACTCAAATATAGATACCTGTATTAGATCGTTCTCATGCTGCCATGAAGAAATACCTGAGATAAGTAATTTATAAAGGAAGGAGGTTTAATTGACTCACAGTTCTGCATTTCTGGAGAGGCCTCAAGAAACTTGCAATCATGGTGGAAGGGGAAGCAAACATGTGCTTTCTCACATGGCATCAGGAAAGAAAGTGCAGAGTGAAGTGGGGGAAAGCCCCACATAAAACCATGAGATCTCTTGGGAACTCACTCACTATCATGAGAACAGCATGGGGGAACTACCCACGTAATCTCATCACCTTCTGTGAAGTCCCTCCCACAACACGTGGGTCTTACGGGACCTACAATTGAAGATGCAATTTGGGTGGGGGCACAGCTAAACCATATCAATACCTATGTTTTGTCGTTCTTATTGTTGTTGAAACAGAGTGTCACTCTGTCGCCCAGGCTGGCGTGCAATGGTGAGATCTCAGCTCACTGCAACCTCTGCCCCTTGGGTTCAAGCGATTCTCGTGCCTCAGCCTCCCGAGTAGCTGGAACTACAGGCATGCACCACCACACCTGGCTAATTTTTGTATTTTTAGTAGAGACAGGGTTTCACCATGTTGTCCAAGCTGGTCTCAAATTCCTAACCTCAGGTGATCCACCCACCTTGGCCTCTCAAAGTGCTGTGATTACAGGCGTGAGCCACTGCACCTGGCCATGAATACCTATGTTGGAACTATCGGGGAGTTTTATTTTTTTCTTTCTTTCCTGTCCTGTCCTGTCCTTTCCTGTTCTGTCCTGTCGCCCGGGCTGGAGTGCAATGGCATGACTCACTGCAACCTCCACCTCCCGGGTTCAAGCGATTCTCCTGCCTCAGCCTCCCAAGTAGCTGGGATTACAGGCACCTGCCACCACACCCGGCTAATTTTTGTATTTTTAGTAGAGATGGCATTTAGCCGTGCTGGCCAGGCTGGTCTGAAACTCCTGACCCCAGATGATCCTCCTGCCTCAGCCTCCCAAAGTGCTGGGATTATAGACGTGAGCCATTGTACCCAGCCAAGACCCTGTCTTTTAAAAAAAAAAATTAGATTGCTTCTACCTTTTGGCTGTTGTGATTAATGCTTCTACCTTACTTTTTATAGTTACCCCATGCCCTGCAAATATGTTCACGCTTGACTTTCATTTCTTTAAACATATTCTTCTTAGCATGTACAGCTGTGTGTGTGTAAAGAAAAAGGGGTATGTGGGAACAGTCTGTTCGTTCTTCACAATTTTGCAGTAAACTTCAAATTGTTCTAAAAAAATAAAATCCAGGAGTCTGAGTGTGGTAGCTTATACCTGTAATCTCAGCATTTTGGGAGGCTTAGTTGAGAGGATTGCTTAAGCCCAGGAGTTCAAGACCAGTCTAGGCAACATAGCAAGACTCTATTTCAAGAAAACAAAATTTTTTTGTTTTTTAAAAAATATAATTAAATATTAAAATATTAAATATTAAAATTAAAATTTTAAAATTTTAAATATTA